CAGTTTCTCACTGGATGAAGCATCAGAACCAGTTTCTGATTGGATGATGGCTGATATTAAACTTCAGGAATGGCCTTCTTAGCAGGGCCGGTGTTAGCCTGTTTGGTGTCCTGGGCAAACAATACCCCCCCCCCCCCACACACACACACACACACACAGTTATTACAGCAGGCTAACACAAGTTTCCCAAATAATGTGAAGTGATTTAAGGCCTTACATTCTGGCATAGCAAACAGCTGACAACCATGAGATAAACAAACATGTTTACATAAATGTCCAATTTGTGACATATTCAGAATAGGAGACAAATCAACACATCTTCCAGGTAAAGGCTATTTAACATGGTCCAAGATACATCACAAGATCAGTGCCTTTAGTAATTATAATAGTCCATCCAGTGGATGGTGGGAGTCAAACAGAAGACTGGAACACAAACTCTCTGTCATCAGAACTTTACAGCATCGGGCCGAACGCGTCCCCACGAAGACAGAAGGGAAGGAAAAGGAACAGAAACACATTCAAGAAGCTCTTCAAACATGTGGATATCCTAACTGGGCTTTTGTCAAGTCAGCGAGGAAATCTACAAAACACACCAATAAACAGAAAAAGTAGAACAACAGACGTAAAAACATTGTCATCCCTTATGTTGCTGGAGTATCAGAGAAATTCAGAAGGATCTTCAACAAACACAACATCCCAGTACATTTCAAACCCAGCAGGACTCTCAGACAGAGGCTGGTCCACCCTAAGGACAAGACACCCATACACAAACAGAGTGGTGTAGTGTATGCGGTCCAGTGCAGCGAGGACTGTCCAGACCTCTACATTGGAGAAACTAAACAGCCTCTTCACAGACGCATGGCTCAACACAGGAGATCCAGCTCCACAGGACAAGACTCAGCTGTTCACCTCCACCTCACAGATAAGGGACACTCTTTTGAGGACCAAAATGTGCACATTTTGGACCGAGAACACAGGTGGTTTGAGAGGGGGGTGAAGGAAGCAATTTATGTAAAAAGGGAAAAGCCATCTCTTAACAGAGGACGAGGCCTCAGATTTTCACTTTCAAAAACATATAATGCAACTTTAAAACAGATCCCCAGCCGGTTTTCACACCTGATGGGAACAGAGGGGTCTCATCTGTGAATTAGAGGAACAAAGACCTTAAGAAACCCCTACTGTTAAGGTGTTGAGGTGTGACTTGTCAAATTTACATACGTGTGTCTCTTATCTCACTCAGCCTTATAACCTGAATCTCTCAATTACTGCTCATTGAACTGAGAAAGCTCCTCGGATCAGGAGCGAAACGTCTTCTGTTACAAATAAAGTCCAGATGTTTTTGTATTGAACGTTTTTTGAATTAGTGTTAATGTTTACCCCACCAAGAATATTAAAAAACACTGAACCATGTGTTCATCTTTAATGGCTGTAAGCCTAATATTAACAGAGGGAAAAATCGTGAGAATGAGTTTAGTATTCAGCTCTAACTGATTAAACACTTCATTGCGCCTGCCAAACAGGTTTCACTCTAAAATCGTCCATCATTAAACAGGGGTGGAGGCCTCCGGGTTCAACTGTCCCCCTCTTACAATGCTGTGATTGCTAGTATCACTCAGCCCTCTGTGAACAGTAAACAGCCATCAGTGTGCTAATGATCCATTGTTAGGCTGATGGTCCTTCTTGAGCATGTGAGCAGCTGGTTTTGGTTGTCAGCAGCAAACTGGTTGATCCACTCTGAGAAGGTGCTATTTAAGAGACTGAGCTGAATACAGCACCTCAGACTGAGGAAGTCTCTTGGATGAGAGACGAAGCGTTTCTATATATTTTTTGCTTTGCTTTGTTTTTTGTTTTTTTGAATGTCCAGAGGACCAGATTGAACTTTTTTGGATTTTTCTACCTGGATTATTGAGCATGCATCAGGAAAGTTAAAGAATGTACGACAAAGGTGAAAGAGCTGGAAAGGCAAAATGATCAACTACGAGAGGAGAATGCTGACCTTAAAAAGAGCCTGAGAACAGAAGAGATACAGAATGAGATGGAGCCTTTGTATAAAAGGCTTGAAAGGAGGAGACAGATGAAGATATCAGGGCTGTAGTCATACAGGCTGAAGCACATGTTCCTGAATCTGAGTCAAGGCTGGAGGAGTGGATATTGTCCACAGACTGAGAAGGAAAATGGAAAACAAATGAGAAATAAATGAGAAAATTTCATTAGGTTCACTCAGTGTTAGAGGTTTAAAAGACAATATCATAAGGAAAGCATTATTTTTGTTTTCGAAAGGACAGAAATCAAACTGTTTTTTATTTCAAGGGACTCACTTGTGAAATACAGATGAAACTTTTAGGGCTAACTACCAGTAATGGGGTGACAGGATTTTATTCAGCCATGGTTCAAACTAGGGGTTGCAGTTTTCTGGCCG